ATACGTCTCGCTCTCGTCCGCATGCCGGTTGAATGCGACGTCGCGAATCATTCACGCCTCGTGTGGAGTGCGTATAAGCGCACGCAAGTCCATATACTTGGACGCATGCTTCCGTACGAATACAAGATTCATAATGCATGCGGTACGAGAGAACCGCGAGATGCGACGCGCTCTCTTTTCTCTGTCACTTTTTCTCTCTCTCTCTCTCTCTCTCTCTCTCTCTCTCCTCTCCCGCACGCGAGCGTGCACACAGAGGCGTGGGGGCAAAGGGGAGGAGAGTAGGGGCACGCTCGTATTCACCCCTTCTACACCCGTGGCAACAACATCACTGCGATGGTCCATGGTCGCGCAGCGATCAATGCCATCGTCGGGCCCCTCTATACTTCGCCCCCACCGTACTTGCCGGTCGTCATGACGACAGCATCCCCACCGACCCCTCCAGGAGCAACGTGGTGCCCTTGGTGGGGCACCTGGGTAGTCGCGAAAGGGGTGACATCCTCGTCCCCCCTGTGTCCCTCGCCCTTTCTCCTCTCCCCACAAACCCCTCTATCGCCACCGCAGGGAGGAATTCCTAGGGAGACGACCAGGGGATTTTGACCCTCCACCCCCTGCACGATCTCTCTCACCAACCCTCTCTTTCTCTTTCTCTCTCCCTGTTTATCCTTCTCTCTCTCTATCTATCTGCGTGTCTCTGCGCTCGGCCACCCGCACGCATTACACGTACGTGCAGCGGAGGTCAGGTAGGTCGCTCCAGGTGACTCGGCCCTGACACCATATCGCTGGCCACCACCGGCCGATTCGTGATTAGATTATCGGCCAGCGATCAACGCGACCGATATCGTTGCAGAGCTCTGTATTCTGAAACTTTCAGATCTTTGACTTTCGCGGCTCGTTTTGATGATTAAATATGTTTATTGTCTTGGGATGATGGAAATTATTCGTGAGGAAAACTATGCTTTATACGATTATGAACTCGGCTATATTCCGCTCTGCAGCTTGACTCTTTTCACTGAATTATGTAACATTCTAAAAGGACTGAAATGTGAGAAATTAAATGAGAAAATTAATTCCCCCAGAGTTGTCTTTCTGCTTGCAACATACATTTTATAAACGAGTTATATTTATACAAATTTTATTTTATAACTACCTTAAAAAGATAATTGAAGATTATTGGATGATTTTGAGTCATTTTGTCGAAATATTGATTAAACTATCTGTATCGGCTGTTTAGGATAAATATTTAAATTCCTGAACTACTTAACTTAAAAAGAAAGAAAGAAAGAAGCTAATTCAGTTATAGACGGGAAAATACATTTAAGCATTTATGAAGGGTTAGATGGCTCCTAGTAAATAATCGTATAGTACGCGGTTATTGCACTGCGCTTGATACAGTCATGTTTCCTCGGTCGCTAGTTGGATTATATGTATCTGGTGTGTCGGAGTATGGATTTGCCACGCGTTGATTAATTCTCGACTGTTCAAGCCGCCCTCTCAAATTGAATTCCAACAATCTCGGCTCTTTAATCGTAACGCGACAGTATCATTTAGACTCGCGAAAGAATATCTTTATCAGAAATATAGTTAAAATTTTTTATATTAAAATAAACGAAAGTAATTACATAAAACTCATCAAAATAATAAAAGGAAAAATTATTCATTAATACACTGTACGTGTGTTTATTATACTTAATAAAATATAGAATTTGTGTAAAACAGAGTGAGATATAAAAAAAGAGAGATTCTCTCGTATTCTTCAATCTTTCAATATTGAAATAAAAAATGAATCACTCTGGACATATGTATGTGGGACAAAGCGAGATACTCTCGCTTGGCAACGAAAGACGGGAGAGAGAGAAGAGTCCGATCCTTCTCTCTAAATCGAGTTACGCGGCCTGTTGGAGATAATGATATTTATGCGCGTCAAGTGTATGATGTGTGGTCCACCACACATGAATTACGAGTAGGCCGTAGAAGAAGAAGGAGGAGTAAAAGCGCGGAAAGTTCGAACGTCTGCTCGAGAATGTCCCGAGAGATTCGTGTCCTCGCGCTTGCGTGTCCTTTCGTGAAAGCGCGATTTCCAAAGTTTCGCACATTTTTAATGTCGCCGCGACTGATTTACGAACGGGCGAGATTTATATAAAATACTATTTTTTATGTACAACGGCAGACTTATCTGTTTATATTTAGTCACTCTTACGAAAAGTCATGTGTAGAGGTTCGACTACTAAAAGATGACTAATGCAAACAATAAATCCTCGTAATTAACTCTATGTTCCTTAGAATATAAATTACAGTGCGATACAACACGATTTATAAATTACTATCATCGCGTGTAAATACGATAAAATATTGTAATCATTTAATGACATGCATTAGTTGTGTTGGCGCGTTGCAGAGAAATTAATACATCAATAATAATTAACGCAAATAAACGGAAGCGGGGTAAAAAGACAAATCCGCAAACTATTTCAATTATTGCCCACCGCGAGCACACTGTGATATCTACATTCGGATACGCAAAGACCGTATTCATAAAGGTGCTCGTTGAATTGATTTAACTGTACGAACAGCTGTAAAAATTAGCCAGAAATTAGTAAATTATAAATAATTTAATTAAATAGACCTCAGATTATTGCGAAAGAGATTTATCATGAGATATCGCAGAGAGAATTACGAAATAAAAAAGTTTTACAAATTTCAATATTTTATTTCAAATATTTTGAAAAGCAAAAAAAAATAATGTCCGGGGATACGGTACCCGATCGTTGTTAATAAAACGGAAGCGCTTCCGTTCATCGCGCTGCGCTTTTGAGGTGGCGCATCGCGCGAGAGCGCGTAAATATTTATCGTGGATAATCCGAGTATACAGGCGTCTATTATAGCCACCCTTCGTCGTCGCTGCCCCTCGGGCGGCGCGATCAAAAGCTTGAACAATGTTCGCTTTAGATAATTAACAAGGTAAAACGAGAGAGAAAAGAGAAAGAAAACAAGCAAGTATGAAATTCTGAAACAAGAGCCACGAAAATGTCAAGCTTGAACAATGTTCGCTTTAGATAATTAACAAGGTAAAACGAGAGAGAAAAGAGAAAGAAAACAAGCGTATGAAATTCTGAAACAAGACACGAAAATGTATCACTTTGTGGCTATAAACTTGCCGTAATCGTAATATTATTGTACTTGTCAGTTAAAGGTTAAAGTCATAGCAGAGAGAATAAATATACGTCTTGTCCCAATTGTTTAGATAACGAGAGCCGTCTTAACGCGAAGTTCTCAACGAGAGGAATCTATAGACAAACATAATAAACGCGATATGTAATAAGCACGCAAAATTGGTAGGAATAAAAATAATGAAAATGAGAATAACGGTATGGCACGCGAGAACCAGAGGAGCCAGCGGTAGCTATGATAATGAAAGTCATCTTAACAAACGTCAGTTGCAAAAAAGGAGCAGCTATGCGAGAGAGGAAGAGAGAGACAGAGAGAGAGAGAAAGAAAGAGAAAGAGAGGGAGAGGGAGAGAGAAAGAGAGGGAGAGAGAAAGAGAGAGAGAGAGAGACGGATAAAGAACACTCGGAGAAACAGGCCGAGGGAGATAGATGGTAGACTCTCTCGGCGAACAAGGGCGAGAATGCGCGGTCTCTTTTCCCCCCTCTCGCCCTTTCCCCCTCGCTCTACGAGGGTGAGAAAGGACGCGAGGGGAATTCTGGACCCTCCAGTGAACCACCACAGGATCCACATCCCCACGGCGCTGTCTCGCGCGCAGCGGCCGCCGCGGTGGTGGGGGAACGTCAGGGGAACTTTAGAGGGGTGGGGGTGCTATATAAGACCGGCGCGAGGGGGGGAGAGCTCAGTTCGTCCAAGAGGAGCGTATCGGTTACATTGTATCGGGTGGCACGATCGTGCGATGTACTCGGCGACGACAGACGAGAAGCGCATCTTGTACTCGCGGGATGCACACGACGCAGTTATCTCCCGTTGCCGGCGAGCAGGAAAAGCGTTAGAGGACTCGGACGTGTTGTTGCTGCGGGAAGACCACGACTTGGAAACTACGAACCGTAAGTAGCGTACATCTCTCCTTGTTACTAGATCGAGAAAGAGAGAGAGAGGGAGAGAGAGGAAGAGATGGAGATAGAGAGAGAGAGAGAGAGTGAGAGAACGGATCTCATATTCGAGCATGTTCATTACGAATACGGCACGTATTATCTTGTTGCGGCTTAATATTCTCTAAAGCTCACATCGCGCACAGCATGTAAATATCAACAAAATTCTTCCTTTTGCTTCCCCTTTTTGTTTCGTCGTTCCATTTTTTATATTCTAGCTGTATTCTCTGATGGATTTTGTTCTTATATTTCCTCTCCGGTATACATGTATATATATATATCATGGAATTTCCCTGTCGTTCGCTTTCTCGCTGACGCGGCGATTCGATTGGACGCATGGTCTCTCTTCGCGAGACGCCCGAGATTACTCGCAAAATTCGATTTCATTGGGAAACCGCCGCGCCGCGGGGGAGTCGCGCCACCAGCAGCCGCCCTCCACGTTTACGTCGGTACAGATTAATTAAGCGATCGATGCTTCTGGAACACGTGAAATTTGCATTAGCCGGCGAGCGAAAGGCAGAGAGAGAGAGAGACGGATAAAGAACACTCGGAGAAACAGGCCGAGGGAGATAGATGGTAGACTCTCTCGGCGAACAGGGGCGAGAATGCGCGGTCTCTTTTCCCCCCTCTCGCCCTTTCCCCCTCGCTCTACGAGGGTGAGAAAGGACGCGAGGGGAATTCTGGACCCTCCAGTGAACCACCACAGGATCCACATCCCCACGGCGCTGTCTCGCGCGCAGCGGCCGCCGCGGTGGTGGGGGAACGTCAGGGGAACTTTAGAGGGGTGGGGGTGCTATATAAGACCGGCGCGAGGGGGGGAGAGCTCAGTTCGTCCAAGAGGAGCGTATCGGTTACATTGTATCGGGTGGCACGATCGTGCGATGTACTCGGCAACGACAGACGAGAAGCGCATCTTGTACTCGCGGGATGCACACGACGCAGTTATCTCCCGTTGCCGGCGAGCAGGAAAAGCGTTAGAGGACTCGGACGTGTTGTTGCTGCGGGAAGACCACGACTTGGAAACTACGAACCGTAAGTAGCGTACATCTCTCCTTGTTACTAGATCGAGAAAGAGAGAGAGAGAGAGAGGAAGAGATGGAGATAGAGAGAGAGAGAGTGAGAGAACGGATCTTACGCGGCGATTCGATTGGACGCATGGACTCTCTTCGCGAGACGCCCGAGATTACTCGCAAAATTCGATTTCATTGGGAAACCGCCGCGCCGCGGGGGAGTCGCGCCACCAGCAGCCGCCCTCCACGTTTACGTCGGTACAGATTAATTAAGCGATCGATGCTTCTGGAACACGTGAAATTTGCATTAGCCGGCGAGCGAAAGGCGCGTTTGATCCGCCACACGAGAGGGAGGGAGGGAATGGAACGTACGATCGAGAGTATTGCCGGTGGCAGGGGGAGGGGTTGCTTACGTATTTCAAATCTCTTCCCCCTATTGTCTTTCCAAATTCTCGAATGATTATTCGCGTAATTGCACAGGCATATATCCCCCAAAAATGTCTGATTAATGAAATTTTAATACGCGATCAGAAAGAAAAAACGATAAAAGTAAAAAAAAAATTATTTAATATATTTTACTTGTTTTGTCTCACACAAGGAGAATTGGTTGTATCATGATTTACTCGACACGTTTTATAGATATAAATTCGATTGTTGCCATTTATGTTGAACGGCTGATATTATAAATAATCGAATGAGTTATCGGAAAAGTTAATTTTTTAAGGCGCATTATGATCGCTACTAACAGAGCACGTGCCAGAAATTATTTTCAAATTAATTGTGATTCTAAAACCATAAATCAACGATATTTAATCGGTGAAAATGGAGCATCCAAATCGGAAATTTATTCGATTATCTATTTAGCAGGTAAGATGTATCATTCCAAATGAAATTTTTGAATGAAAATTTATTTAAACAGTATGCTTAACAAAACAAGTTTATACAATCAATAACAATCTCGATTAAATAAACATAGATTGTTTTCCTATCTAAGTTTATTTTATTTGCAATGTCAATTCAAGATTGCTACAAATTTATCGACAAGCGTCGATAAATTATATCTGTTAACGTTGCTCGGTATATGCATTTTCAATTAGATAATTAAACTCTCTAGTATTACAGAATATATACTCTTAAAAAATCAAAGTACGGGTAGCGAATAATAAACACGGTAGATCTCGAGATGGATCACGAACGCGTCATTTCGCATTCTTACAACGTGCAACGCGCGGAAATGTTGCACGGCACACGAGCGTGAGATAAAATTAACAGCAGCGAGATTAATGATTATACTCTTAATCGAGTTAAATAGCCGTATATGTGGCGGCCCTTTGTAAGAGATCCTTTATGCGCATTGTATATACATGGCGGATAAACTCGAGTGAATACAATCCTGTTGGGCAAAACGAGCAAAACGAAATCGATTCGTTGCTTTTGAAGATTACACTTCGGAAAAAAAAAAAAAAAAAAAAAAAAAAAAACGGTCGACGTCGTCTCCCGCATTATTTCGCAAATTAATAGCGCGCGGTCGTGTTTATTTTTTACGCGCGCTCTTTGATCTAAGGTACAGGTAAATCTACATAGTGAAATGGAGTACGTCGCTATACGTCGTATAACGACGTTATACGACGAGACGAGATTTCTTGTCGTCGAAAAATATAACGTGACAATTTTGAGAACAGTAGCAAAAAATGCATTTATAATATACAGAATCAATATATAGAGAAAAAAGATATCGAACGAGAATATCTTTTTTTCAAGCTTCAAATTTTCGGCTAAGATCTCTCTACCCTTAATTTCACACGATTTTTTAAATCGCGATTTTAACTTTATAACGGGGAGTTATTTAATATCAAACATTGAACAATTTGTAATAAGCTCTCACCGTATGCGTACATAATCCCACGCGAAATTAAACGCGTGCGCGTGAGAGATACATATTTATTCGGAAAACCAGAATAATCTCAAACGCGAAACATTTCAGCGGTGACGTTGCAACGGGCGATGCATCGGGCCAAAGTCGCGTTAAGTACTCGCGGCGCGCGTTACACCTCGCTAAATTAATTCAGACCGCTTTGGAGCTGAAAGTTTTCTGGCCGTCGCCGCCGCGAATGCGCTACGCAGCAAATCGCATTTACATGATATTTTCCGGCGTAATTTACATGTTTGAGTTTGGGATACCACCACTCGAAAATATGCCGTCCCCCCTTTTTCCTCTTTCTCCTGTCTCTCTTTCTCTCTCTTTCTCTCTCTTTCTCTCTTATCTTTATTTACACGCTCTTTTGACCGACGCGCTTTTTGCAAATTTTGTGTCGCGTTTTCGCGAGGGTGGCTTAACGGAAGTATCTCATCGCGTTGAACTCACACCTTAATCCTTTTAACCTATCAACACACTCAAAGCCTTTTACGTGGCACAGAGATATCTTCGCGTTCGCAATCCCATTAAATCCCTTCATCCGGTAGCGCTCGGAATGCGCTGACTTTAACGACGAAGAGATAATCTTCCATCGGCTAACATAATGTATCCTTCCGCTGATTTAAGCGAAACTTAGTCGAGTACAAGTTCGCGCAAGTCGGAAATACCAAGCTTGAGACTGACGGACACCATGATTCTCCACCACTGTAATTCAACCATAAAATTGAAAACTATACTTGTCTCTCAAAGACTCTCTCTTTTAACATAAAATTTCTCTGAAATATATTACATGATAAAAAATAATTATTATCATTAAAAGAAATATAAAATTGTGATTTACACAAGTTCAAAAAATTCAAAAACAACTTTATCGCTATATATTAAATAGAACTTATTAATTATTTTATCCCGAACAGGTAATTATTATTAATATCATTATAAATAACATGCGAAAATATCTTGGTTATAATTTTCTCTTGGAATTTTCGACAAATTTTTTTAGAGATAATAATTATGGAAGAATTTTTGTGGCTGTGTGAAAGAATCGAGAAAAAAATAGGACGCGACTTCATCTCTCCCATCCTTTCTCTCTCTCTCTTTCTCTCTCCTAAAACAGAAAGAATCTCGTCGCGTTTGTGACGTGCTTGAATCACTGTCGCGAGGCGAAGGGAAAAGTGGATGAAAGGTATCAGACGCGGCGGCAAGTTTTCATTTCGCCGTGTGCATCATCACAATGCGATTGAATCGATGCGGCCGGGATACAGGCTGTCGTCTGCGCGGTGTGAATATTTAATGAACGTTACCGTTAATGAGGCTCGGCCATATTAGTATTAATTAACGCCGGGACGCCTGGCGCTTTCACCATACGCGCGCGAATAAAAACACTAAATTAAAATAGACAACGACGACGGTGTGTCGATGTAGCCCGATCATTAGCTATTTACCACGAGCCACGTGTTGTCATTAATTCGCACATGTAAATGTACAAATATATTCCCTTATCGGATCAAGCTGCGTATTTGTGGATCGAAATAATTCTGTATATTAAAACGTCAAATAATATGTTACGTTTCGTTTATCGTTATACTTAATTATTTTTTCACACATTTATATCAAATGTGTATTCATATATTCTGTTTCGAGACAGATAAACTTTTTTGTCATATTTAGGGAATATTTAAAAATAATAATCTATAATAAAATCTCGATATAAATCGATTATCGATAAAAGAATGCTTGTTTTACGCCTCTTTCTCTAAAAGGTAGATCTATAAAAAGCAGATTGTCCAATAGATTGAAGAACATACTTTTGAAGAATTTGTGCCATCAATCTCTCCTTTGTCAGGTGATTTCATGGTTCTTTCAAGAAGTTCAGATAAACTCGATCGCGTCCCATGCATTTGATCGGTGCGATGCGCCGAATTCTTTGCCAGATTCCGTAAATTCGGTACCGAAATTGTTCACTGTCTGCAATAATTTTTTGTGTGGCATACGTTTCGTATAAATTCGAATATATTTTTTAATTTATTATAATATTTGCAAACACTTTTATTGACATAGACAGTTAAACAATTAGCTTCTAATTATATGATGACGTATTAATACAGACGCATCTGGGTTAATAGAGTGACTTTGTTATTCTAACATTCGTATTTAGTAATAATTTTAAATGGTGCATGAATTTTTTGTTTAAAATAAACAATAATTGCCTGATTACGTTGCAATTAACAAATAGATTAATTGATGGATAATATGAATAATTAATTACGGATTAGATTAATAAAAATTATTGCGCGCAACAAACATATTTACTAATATTATTCAACACATATAAAAAAAAATGAATTTATTAAATAATATACTTCAAATATTATCGTTACTCATCATTATCATTCATCGGTGTGCATCTAATCCACATTTAGCAGTTTTCCAATGAATTTCGAGTCGCACAATCGATTGTCTCATTCCATCGGCTGGTTAATGAGAAACGAATGGTCGAATCGCGTTCGCATCTCGCGCGAAAATCAGAATGTGTATTGTTCGAGAGGCTGCGGATGCAGGATGCACCGGAAAGAAATTGGGCGCATCGCGGGGAGATCATTACGATATCGTTGCTTTCAGTGAACAGATAGAACAGAAGAGGAGGGAGTTCGATTAGTGTCGACACTAAGCTTCCCCTGCGTCGCGCGTGCGTCGGTTTTAAGCTGCATGCACACATATTTGAATCGTGTCTTTTAAATTATATTTATACCTTTTTTTTTCTTTCTCTGTCTCCGCAGGGAAAAATGTAATAATTTTATTTGAAATACAGAAGGTAAATGGAAAAAGGAAATATAATTATTTTAATTAAATTTCAAAATAATTTATGTTTCACTTTAGTCGTATATGTAAATATTTATTTATATTTAACAAGATCATTGCTCATAAGTTTGCAAGTGTGTACGTGGGCTTAGAGCCGATCGTTTGCGTTTCACATTGTTGCGCAACGGAGATAGAGGGGAGCATAGAAAGTAATAGATACGCATACAGGATGTTTCAGAAATCGTTTATGTTACGCAATAGTAAATTGAAATAAATATTACCTGCATCAATCTAGAATATAAAAA